AATAAAAATAGTTTTATATCAATATCTAATATCATTTTTTAATTTAAAGTATACCAATTTTTACCAAAAAAGTTAAAAGTAGACATATACACCCACGGTGAAGGGAGTATTATTATTCTTATTGTTATTATATTTTTTGAGGAAATTATCATAATAATAATAATAATAATAATAATAATAATAATAATAATTATTATTATTATTATTATTATTATTATTATTATTATTATTATTTTCTCAACGGCGGCCGGTGACAACCCAGTGCAGAAGGCAACGACAAACGACAAAGCAAAAATGGCGGCTAGCAACCACAGACTAACAGTGGCGGCATTAACAATAACAGTAGTACACCATTTGTCGCAAACTTTTTCTGATTTGACTTTTTATGGGTTCAAATGTATCACTTTAACCATTAATATTTATATATATGCATACATAAATATATTTTATAAAAATTAATGTTTCAAAACTTTGTTTCAAAAATAATTTATTGATATTACATTTATATCATAATACAATAAATTTTTTTCGCACATCAAGGTCTAAATTTACAAACTTTGACCAAAAAAAGTTAATTAAAAAAAATTATGGACGGAGTGTGTAATTAATAATAATAATAATAGTAATTATAATAATAATAATACATATAAAAGATGAAAAAAGAGGGTGGAAGAGGGTTGGATCGAAAGAAGGAAGAAGGAGAAGAAGAAAAAAGAAAAAAAGGAGAAGAAAAAGAAGAAGGATTGAAGAATGGAAGATGAAGAAAGAGGAAGAAGATGAAGTAGAAAGAAGAAGATAAAGAAGATAACGGAGAAATTCGGTTTTGACGGAATATGGACAGAATGTCACCCCGTAGTAAGTTTTTGGATATTTTAAGGTACCTCGTAGTAAATTTTAGAAAACAATGGGACCTGTGGGTTCTTATCACAAAAATGAGGGTACCCAGCAGCAATTTTTTGTATTTATGGAGTTCACTAGTGGGGGATACTTCTTTAGTGCTCAATAATGTCATGCCACCCACACATCAGAGTCCCCCAAGACACACGGGTAGTATGTTATGATCGAGCTAGAGACCTAAAAACCATATATGACAAACAAAAAACTAAGAAAACTAAGAAATTATATTATGGTACCTATTATATTATACATTCGATTGTACCTATTTTTGAGTACAACCAAGAAATTATTTATGGTATTGATTTTATTTTACATGAGAATGAACACTAAGTTATTTGAGAATGAATACTGTTTTGTTTCAGAATGAATATTATATTATTTGTAGATGAATATTATAATTATATTGAACCAATGTGTGAAAATGAGTACTGTATTATTTAGAATGAATGCCACGCTAGTTATATTTGTGCGAGAATGAGTACTACTCTACTTCAGAATGAGTACCACCCCGGATGTACTTATCTCTAGGTACATCCGGTTGTACCATATGATAGGGGTATTCCACCCAAAACCGGTCAAAGAAGACGTCCAAATATTCGACCGGTCAAAGTTGATTTTTCGGAATGGGAGGACTAAAACGACAGTAAAAGGGTAATTGGTTGACTAAGGGTTTGACTGGTAAACTTCTGAAAGTATACTGGGCAAACTACCTTTTTCCCCATTTGCCCCCAATTTCAGTGACAAAGAAGTGTAACGCCATAAAATATGGCCTAAAATTTATTATAAAACAAAAGTAATTTTTGTCCAATAAGGAATATTTATACGTTTGACCAAAAATAAATGGATTTTCAAAATAATGACTTTTTGTTAAAAACTTATTTTTATGAATATGTCTCGAAGAGACAAATCCAACGGTACATTTTATGAACCAATCTGATTTACAGATTTCAAGTTATGACGATTTTTTTAAGTATTAAAATTTGTAACTTTGACCCATAAAAATAAACTCAATTCAAAAGTGATTTCATAAAATTAGAAATATTAATTTTTGACACTTGATAAGATCATATTAATCATTTGGATTGAATTCGTATATTTTTATCTCATTCATATTATTAAATTAATTTATGATTTAGACAGACCCGAACACCGATAAAAATAAAAGTTCTCAAAAAAATATTCTGATTACATCAAAAGTTTAGTTTTGACAGTCTGATTCCAAAAACACAATCCGTTTTCCATTCGGAGCAGTTTGGGCGAAAAAGCGCAAACCCTTTGGAATAAAGGGTTCAGTTTTGGCAAAAAGCCAAAACTTAAATTATCAAATCTCTTCCAAATCACGGACCAGCCCCTCCTAGCCTCACTTTTGCTCCACTAGCCACCTAAAGTCTCTCCCTACATAATACTTCCAAAGTATTATGTTATAATACTCCACCACCACAATTATCTTCATTATCATCATGTTCCACCATCATCACCATCATCTCATCTCTCCCCTCTCCATTCTCTCACTGTCGGCAACTTCAAGGAGAGAAGAAAACACCCTCCTCCATAGATGGTTCAAGGAAGAAGGAGAAACAAGAAGAAACCATCCATAGTTTCCAAATCATGAGTTCCAAACGCAGCATTAACTTCTACGTAAGTTCTGTAATTTTCCATCCAAATACCTTTTGAACCAAAGTTGTAGCCCCGGACGATACGAATCCAGCCCAACAAACGGCTCACGATTTCGTTAAGTAACGAAGAAGATATGGCCAAAATACCGGGACTGCGCCAGTGGTGGCGAGCTCCTCGGGTTGGACCATGTTTCTTCACCATATTCATGTTGTTCCATTCCAAATACTCACCATAAACTCTCTAACAATTATTAGGAACATCCGGAAGGTATCGTAGAGAAGGTTCGGTGTTGGAATATTGAAGTTAATGAGTTAATCGTCGGAATCGTGGTTCATCAACATATCCGAAATCCTGGACAGCAACTATCCTTTGACTTCAGGTCCGATTTACGCTATCTTACATCTGTTAACTCGAAATACTTTCTATACGAAAGTTATAACCATACATCTTAGAAATCCACAGAATCAAACGGTTTGCAATTTCATGAAGAAACGATGGAGATATGCCCAAAATACCGCAGGCTGTCCAGTTGTGACGGGAATGACAAAGTTCGTGAATTTCGATGTTGTTTTCACTACCGCCCGTCCGTAAGGTTTCGACCGATGATTTCCAGGTCTGTACCTTTGCGTTAGATTTGTCGAATCATTCATCACATTCGTACATGAACATATATGTTAATCCATTTGTTGAAATCATTCCAAAATATATATGTGATGCATATATAAGTCATCTATGTGTTAAGACCAAAATACACCAAATTCATAAAGTTAATATATATATATATATATATATATATATACACACATAAGTATATTTAACCATTTGAAATCAACCCAACAACATGTATATGTTAATCAAAGGTGTTTAAAAGATTTAAAGAAGTATTTTGGACACTCAAAATATCAAGAGAAAGATTCGCAGACCCAAACGGTCGACGCAAACGGTCGACCGTCGCGTTAAACTTCGAGACGAACCAGGACTGTCAGCCAAACGGTCAACCGCCGGCGGCTGGCGGTCGACCGCCGCCTGCCCAGTCAAGGACCGTCGTCCACCTCTAGTCAACAACGTTCGACCGCCGGTCAACCGCGGTCGACCGTCACGGTGATCCTACAACCCGACGTGATGAAGATCAAGGTCGACCGTCGCGACAAACGGTCGACCGTTCCGAGCCCCGTAGCTTATTTAAATGATATTTTTACCATGTTTCACCCAAATAAATTAATGTATGATTACATATTCACATTGTTACAAATTGTTCATATCGTATGATTCATTTCATCATCCATTCTAAAGCATATCATATCATATGCATGCGTAAGAGATCATGCCTAGTGCGTCTCTTATAGTTGTGATTGTGCGGGACTTAGCAGTCCGACATCACTGACCGGGCTTAGTGTACGTACATGGTATTTAGGCTTTCGAGTACCACCCCTATTTTTCTAGTCTCCCTTGTGAGACTAAGGTGGCATGAGTTCGTCGTACCAAATGGGCGAATCTCATAGGGCAAGGTCGTTCCTTGTGGGTTATAGGATCATGCATCATGTTATCGTCATCAGGTACAATTATATTGATTACATAGGTGTCATGTAATAATCATCAAGAACGATTATATTGATTACATAGGTGTCATGTAAGCATCATCAAGGACAATCACATTGATTAAATGTACCATCATGTAATTATCATTAAATATTTATCATCATGAGTCATCAAATTTACCATATGATATAATGTGCCATATCATGAATATTGTTATACATTTTTGTGGACATATATATATGTATATGTATATGTCTGTGAATTATTCTACAATTCTAGCGTGGTACCACTCAGCGGTTTCGCTGAGCGTGTAGTTTGTATTTTTCGTTGACTACACGTAGGTAACAAGAAGACAATGATGAAACCACTCCCGGAGGGCATTGAGTAAGAGGAGATGCAAGGATGGCAGGCAAATGTTTGATCATCAGATTTAAAATGTGTCATGATTTGATTATTATTGCACTTCCGCATTACTCTGAAAATATTTTTAAATGGGTCACGATCCAGAATCTGTAAATTTAATATTTATAAGAATTTGTCATTTTCAAATGTCAAGCGAAATTTTTATTTATCCCTCGTTTCACCTTAATTCGTGTAATTCTGGGTTATACGGATTGAGGTATTACAAGAAGTCACCTTCCTAGCTAGATGACAATGTCACTAGCAGACAGAGGCAATCACCTCTCACCACCCAGGAACGTGCCCTGACGGAGATGTGTGACGCCTTGTCTCCTCTAGCTTACTATAAATACTTGTGTAACCCTCAAAGGAGGGGATTCGATTTCTTCTGACTAAAACTCTCGTGTAAACGCTCACGTGCACTCTACTCTATTCAAAATATTAATTGGGCTACAGGTATTTCAACCTACAGTCCTCCCGGCTACTTTGAGTGTTTTTACCTTTTACATTCCCGAATCTAGTAAACAAACAATCCTAGACTCGGTCTAGTACTATTTACCCGGTTAGGTAATTTACACCATCATTTTTGGCGCCACTCGTGGGACTGTTAAGGTTTCTTTTCATCTAAACTCAAACCTACTCACAGAAACAACACTGAAAATGTCTTCAAGCTAAATGAACAACACCGCATCAGCTCTGGTGCAAGTCGCCTTTGAAGGAGTGACCATCTCGCTAGTTGTTACTCTACGAGCTAACTCAGCACATGTGATGTCGATGGGTTTAAGTCCCATCCCGACGCCAAGCATGGCTGCGCCATTCGCAGTCCCCGTTCCTTTTGCCGGGCTAAGGGTCACCTTCCCGCAAAGCATGACCCAATTCCTGAATGACCCGGCCAATTTGCAGGTGATTCAAGGATTTGGCCAGGTCATGGCTATGTGTCAGCACAATGGAGGAATGCCATTCCTTCCAGGCATTTTCCCCTTTGCCCTACCAGGCGCTAGAACGATGCTACTGCAAGCCCCGATGGCGTTGTCTCCCTTCTAGACAGTAGTTCCACAACCATCACCTTTCCAACCGCAGGTGGTCAGTGTTGTGGCCCCTATCAACTTGACTGGTGCACTCAACGTCGCTGGTCTATCACGCCCTCCTCAGAGTGCTCGCCATCCCAGAGCACTCCTCAGGATCATTGCGTCTCCGTTGAGAGTGATGACGGTGAGTGGGACATTCCCAGAGCCCACAGGAAGAAGAAGGGAAAGACCCTTAGACCAGCAACCTCCTGTGGCTCCGCTTTGAAAGGCTGGGGGAAAGGGATGATGGTCAGAGGAAGTCAGCCAAGCTAAGATTGGGGCAAAACGTGGCCCATTTCAGCGCTTTTGCCCGACTAGGCGAAGGGAGGGAGGCCGATCCTGCCCGTACCCAGCGCTCCGGGTCAAATCGGCAGGAACCTACAAGATCAAGGGTTTCGCGCCAGGAAGAAGAAGCAGAAAGCCAGCCCCGTGAGCCGGTGAGGATTAGGCTGACACACCTGGGAGATTGCGTCCAGCAGATGGAGGCGAAGCTTGAAAGGCTGGAGAAGAAAGTGGCATGGGGAGAAGAAGGACCAGGAAAAACCCCTTGCTGGTTCTCCGTTCACTGCGAGGGTCCACCTGACACCATTCCCGCGGAAGGTCAAGGTGGATGCCCCAAGGTTCACCAGGAAGGAGGATCCCGAGATTCATTTGGATTCCTTCAATCAAAGTGCAACCATGAATGGATGCACGGATGAAGAAAGGTGCCTACTTTCTTCCAAACCTTGTGAAACCGGGCCACGGAATGGTTCAATAAACTCCGTCCAGGGTGAATCGACTCGTTTATAGAACTGGCCTCGAAATTCAAGGTCAAATTCCAGGAGAAATGTACGAAAAGTAAGAAGTTCACCTACCTAAGTACAACCGGTCAAAGGGAGTCTGAGAATCTCACTCAATTCCTTACATAGTGGAAGGAAGAGGTGGACAAAGTCGAAGAAATGGATGACAAGACAGTATTGTCTCTCATGTTGAACAGATTGCGAGCCGGGGAACTATACAAAGAGTTTTGCCGCAAACCCGCGGCCATATATCAAGAGGCCTACCACACGGCGTGGGAATTTGGTGAGGCCAAAACCCAGGTCCGGGCAAAGAAACAAGCTGAACACGGTTTTAAACCAAAGTCGGTGCAAATCAAGAAGGAATAATCCCAGCAAGCCAAGGCATCATTATGACCCGGTCATTCGAGTGGTCAATACGGAAGAGTGCCAAAAAGTTAGGAAGGCACCGGTCAATCCTACCGGTTGTTAGTGGTCGGACACGTATTGTTCGTACCATAAATCTGATTCCCATAACACTTCGGAATGTAAAAGTGTTATAGGAGTCATCCGGCAGATGATTGACGGTGGAGAACTAGGTAAGGAGTATTTGCAAAAGGCCTAGGAAAAGAACCATCAATGGGTAAAGTCGGAAGCCCAAGGAAATGACCGGGACAATGACCGGCGAAAGAATGACCAGTAGAAGGAGCGAAGGCTTCCTCCAGTCAAAGAACACATTGGGATGATCTTTGACAGACCGAAGGATAGGGACTCAACCGCGCAACGGAAGAATTGGGTCTGGAGCATGTACATGGGAGAGATCAGGGAAATAGATAAGGAGGGAACCAATCGTCTTCACTGACCGGGACCTATCAACAACCGGCAATGATCATAATGATCCTTTGGTCATCACCATGGACATGAACGGGGTTGATGTTGCTCGGGTATTAGTTGACACAGGCAGCACTGTCAACATACTATACCTGGAAACTTTTCAGAAGCTCAGGTTGTGTCGAACACAACTTGAACCTCTGAAAACTCCTCTCCTAGGCTTCACGGGGGACACCGTGGAAGCTAAACGATCGATCCTCCTACCAGTCGAACTAGGATCGGAGGACAAAACTGTATGGAAAAAGATGCGGTTTATCGTGGTGGACATCAAATGTATCCATAACGCTATCCTTGGAAGACCTTGCATAAATAAAGTCTGGGCGGTGATCTCTATACCCCAACTATGCATGAAATTCCACACGCCTGGGAGTGCAATGCCCAGGCGGTGAAGAAGATGGCGAAGGGGGTCAACGTCATCTCCCAAGAAATCACCAAGGGGGAAACCTGGGAAAAAATTGAACCCGAGGCTAAAACGGTGGAGATCAAACTCCACCCGAGTGATCCCTCAAGGACGGTGAGGATCGGAGAAAACCTGCCAAATGACCTCAAAGAAGAAATAACCCGGTCCTCTAGGAGTATGCAGGCATATTCGCGTGGAGCGTGACGGATGTGCCTGGGATTGATCGCTCCGTCATCTGCCACCAGCTGGCAGTGAGAGAAGGATCTCGACTGGTACGCCAGAAGAAAAGGTACCTTGCCAGCGATCGTAGAGATTTCGTCCAGAAGGAGGTGAAGGATCTCCTCAGTGTTGGTCATATCCGGGAAGTCAAATATCCTGATTCGTTGGTGAATGTGGTTCTCGCTCCCAAAGGCGATACATGGAGGATGTGTGTGGACTATATGGACTTGAATAAAGCTTGTGCTATGGATTCATACCCTCTGGCCAGTCGAGATCAAATGGTGGATGAAACTGCTAGGTGTGAGCTCCTAAGTTTCATGAATGCCTTCAAGGGCTACCACCAAATTTACATGGCAAAAGAGGACGAGGAGAAGACGTCCTTTCTCATGCCCGAAGGTACCTACTGCTACCAGGTAATGGCCTTTGGCTTGAAGAATTTAGGAGTCACTTTCTAGCGCGTGGTAAACAAGCTCTTCAAGCCTCTGCTTGGGAAGACCATGGAAGCTTACGTGGATGACATGCCGATCAAGAGCCAGGTATCTCTCAACCACCCGGCTGACATGCGAAAGTCCTTCGAGATCATGGCAAGGTACAACCTCCGGTTGAATCCTAATAAGTCAGTTTTGGGTTAGTTTTTTTATATTTATTTTTAGGCATTTTTAATATTTTTATTGTATAATTTTTAGTTGTTTTGCTTAGTTTTATTTTAACTTTCATTTTTACAATCTTTTAATTTACTTTATAAATAGTAGTCTTTTTAATCAGTTTTTACATCCAATTATTTTTATTTTATTTTTTCTAACCCAAGTTATCAGATATCTAATTTTTTGGAAAAAAATGTAACAAAAGACCAAATTAGAGTTCAAGTTTGAAAAGAAGAGGTTGAATTTGGGCCAAAGCCCAAAACCATCAACAATAAACAGCCCATCACTCTTCCTCATTCTAAGTCAACGAAAAGAGAAAAAGAAATTAAAGCAGCGCTCCATCTCCTTCTTCGTCGAGAGTAACGGACCAGAGCTCCAACGTTCAACGTCAAATCTCGTTCCTCATTCAAATCGCCAATCAATTCTCCCAACGGGAAATAATTCAACGGTAAATTACTCCTTCTTTCTATAAATTAGAGCAACATCAACTCAAAAAGGAGTGTGGAAACAACGAAGGGCAACAACGATTGAGAGCCGCGGCGGTGGCGGCCGGCGACGAGGCCACGGCGGCGGTAGTGGCGTCCGGCGATGGCAGCTCTGGTGGGCAGCAACTTTCCTTCAAGCTCCAATTCCTCAATTTGTACATTTCTTCAACAATTGGTAACCCTTATTTGTCAATTTTTATTTTTCCCCCAATTCTGTGTAAGAGTTTGTTTTTTATTCAATTTTTACATTTTTTTTGCTTGTTCTGTTAATTTTGAAAATTCTAAAAATGGTTGGTGTTCTTTATGGGTTTTTTTTGAATGTTTATATTAAATCCCTTATGAATGAGAATTGATTCAAATTTATTTTTCTTCAATTATTGAGCTAGTTGTTGTTGAATTGGTGGAATTGTTAATTCGATTTTATAAGTAGGTTGTTATGTAGAATTTTGTTTTTGTTGAAGCTATTTTAGCTCCATAAGGTAGTTAAATGAACTCCGGATTCATACGTGATTCTTTGTTGTGATTTGTGTTCGTTGATTTTAAGAATTTTGGACTTCTTAGCCCCATAAGTTGATTCATTTTTCTTAGAATTCGTTATTGAGTGATTGTTATGTTTTCGTATGTTTGTTTGTTATTTTCATTAGAATTAAGGTTGTTTAAGCTAAAAAACAATTCTCAATTGATTGAAAATATGTTGTGTTCTTCTATGTGAATAGAAAAAATGTCATTGGTTTGAGAAGTTCATGGAAATCTGTGAAATGTGCTCTTCATTAGGGAAAAAGTTTATTAAAATGCATAAGGTATTGGCAGTTTGTGAATAGATTATGCATGAGAGTTAGAATGAAAAAAAATTCACTCTTTTATAAACTTTTTCTATAGTGGAAGTATGTTTTCATGCTTGATTGGTGAGTTGGGGTTCTAAGGTTTATTTCAAAATGGGCCTTTGAATTGCATGACTCCGGGCCGTGTGGAGAGTTGACAATCCTCCTTTACGTGGTTAGGGAAATGAATTGACTCGGCCTTTGATTGTTTTTTCTATTCTTAAGTGCGTAAGTTACATAATATATTGTCTACGTGTCTATTATACGTGTAATGTTCAACTTGTGTTTGTTCTCTTTTTCATTTTGTTTCGGGTTCTTGGCGGTGTTTCTTGGGTTACCTAAGTTGGAGAAGTTGATTATCTTTAGAGCTTGTTTTTCCCCATTTTATCAAAAAAAAAAAACAAAAAATTAGAAAACATAAAAATAAAAAATTAGAAAATATAAAAACAAAAAAATATTTACTTTTTATTCAACATCCCCCCTTGTGTTATATTAATATAAGTTTTTTTTACTAAGTTATGCTATAAGTGTTTTTTATAAGTTATAAATATAAGTTTTTATACTTGTATATACTTAGGTATGTGTTTTGTTTTTATAAGTTACTCCGTATATTATAAGTTCTTTGTTTATATAAGTTATATTTATAAGTTTTTAATTATTTAGTTATAAGTTTTATTATAAGTTTTATCATATGTGTAGTAGTTATTTTTTTAGTGACAACGTGTTTGCATGCTAATTTGATTTCAAAAGTACAAACTTTCTCCGTGGGATCGACCCTTACTTGCCCTAGCTATAGTTTTTATTTGATTATATTTTGGGGGTTAGTTAAGGATATTTTATAAATTTTTAATTTGTTTTGGACCTTACGACAAGTCCTCAACAAATCCCAAGAAATGCATCTTCACAGTTCGTACCGGTAAGTTCTTGGGATTCATGGTGACCAGGAGGGGTATAGAGCGCAACCCGGTGAAAATTCGGGCAATTACTGAGATGCAAGCCCCGACCTCGGTCAGGGACGTGCAAAAGATTACCAGGCGCCTGGCAGCCCTTAGCCGATTTCTCTCCCGGTCAGCGAAGAGATCCCTGCCGTTCTTCAAAGTCTTGAAGAAGGCCAATGCGTTCACCTGGGATGAGGATTTTCAGAAGGCATTTTATGAACTGAAGGAACACCTAGTGTCAGACATTGTATTGTCAAAACCCGAACGGGGTGAAACATTATATTTGTACCAAGGGATTTCCCCAAATACTGTAAGTTCCGTTTTAATAAGAGAAGATGGGGCACAAAAGCCCATTTATTATGTGAGCAAGGCACTAAAGACGGCATATGCGCTTTTCATTTCCGCCAAGAAGTTAACATCATACTTTCAAGCTCACCCGGTTGAAGTCTTGACCGACCAACCACTGGGTGCAGTGTTGCGAAATTCAACATCCTCCGGGAGGATGGTGAAGTGGGCAATGATGTTAACTCAATTTAACATTGAGTACCGGCCAAGATCAGCAATCAAGGGACAAACCCTTGCAGATTTCCTGGTGGAAATGACCGGCCCAACTCCTGACTTACCGGTCAACGTACCTACAGAACAATGGTGGGAGATGGCCGTGGATGGGGAATCTGGCCCGAAAGGGTATGGGGGCGGCGTAGTGTTTACCGCCCTAGAAGAATTTAAGATTTACGATGCGCTCGTTTTCAACTTTAAATTGACGAACAATGAAGCAGAATATGAGGCTCTTGTCGGAGGTTTTTGACTTGCTCAAGCCCTTAAAATCAACCAGGTCAGTATCAAATCTGACTCTAGTCTGATCGTAGGGCAAGTGGCTGGTAACATGGAGGCAAGAGAAGGACGATTGGCACAATACCTAGTGCTGGCCTTGCTGAAAGGATTTGTGGAATTCAATATAGCCCAGATTCATCGGCCGGCTGAGAACGCAGATGCAGATCTCCTCTCAAAGTTGACGCAGTCCACCCCAGAGCACGTTTCAATAATTTCCTGGGTAGAAACTCTAGATCGTGCTAGCATCGAAAAGCTGGAAGTCTTGCAATCAAAGCGGCGGGACAAATCGACCAGTCAATCTCAAGCACGCTTGGAGCAGATGATCTCTTGAAGTACCAAGTGAATGGAAGCTTACCTGAGCAGGATTACTGGGTGCGCAAAGTGAAGCTCAGGGCACCCCGGTTCCAGGTTATAGATGGAATGCTGTACAAGAGGCCATTCGAGGGACCACTCCTGAGGTGCCTAACCAACCGGGAGGCAGAAAGAGTTATCGTAGAATTCCATGAAGGGGTATGCGCAACTTATCAAATGTCTCGCACCCAATCCCAGGGCATCATACTATTGGGATACTACTGGCCAACAATCGTCCAAGATTGTGGATGGTTTGAAGATACTACTTGGCGAAGCGGGGAATAAATGGTTGGAAGAGCTCCCACACATCATATGGGCATACCGAGTAACACCCAGGAAGGCTCATGGGGAAACACCGTTTTCCCTAACTTACGGGTGTGAAGCGAGATTGCCCATCGAAGCGAAACTCCCGACATTCAGGGAAGCAAATTACCAACCCCAACAAAATGAAGAAGACCATTTGGCCGAACTCAACTTGGTGGAAGAGCGAAGGATGGCATCCGAAGTAAAAATGAGCACATACCAACAAGTTGTAAAAAAGTACCATGACAATAGAGTCGGACCATGATACTTCCATGTCGGCGATGACGTCCTACGAAGAAGTGAAGCCAGCAAACCGGGTGACGGAGGAAAGTTGGCCAAGAATTGGGAAGGCCCAGAACGGGTGATTGCCATAGTTCGCCCGGGCACATACCGGTTAGAAACTCTAGAGGGTAGAATGGTAGAAAGATCTTGGAATTCCAATCATCTGAGAAAGTTCTACAAACAATTGTAACACTAGGCCTTGCTTATTTCTGTTATTAAGTAATCAAATTGATGAAATTCCATATTCTACCTGGTAGTAGCAGAAATGATAGGTCGAACCTATCCAAGGAAGGCTTCCCGGGTGGATTAGATCCACTCGGATAAGCCAACTAAGACACAAGCCCGGACCTGGCATGCTGGTTACTACACCGGTTTTGTTCAGTATAATAAAAAAATAAACCCGGAAGAGGGGCCCCGGATAAGGGGTAAGCCTGCAAGAAGGCTGGGCGTGGAAGAAGGTTCGAAACCGTAAAACTAATTAGAACTAAAAGATGCCCATTAAAAGAAATAGAAAAGGATTATTCACTGCAATGCATCCTACTCTGACCGGGTCGGATTCCCCCTTCTCAGGGAAGACTTGAACGGGGGGTGAGCTAAGGCCTTTTACCCCGGGATAGTAAACATCAAAGGGCCATTAAAAGACTTAATCACCCGAAAGAGGGGGGCGTGGAAGAAGGGTGCATTTGAACCTTAAAGAGGGTTCAAGGCCATTCGACATGGTTACATCTCTAGTATTCTTACCGGGTAAGTGTAACACCCCAACCTGCGTAACCCGAACCAACGGGTTAGCGAACTGGGTTGTTACTAAATTGGTATTCGCACACATAATTTTTTTTCTTTTCTAAAATAAATAATAAAATAAATTATAAAATTTGTCCCGTAAGAGTTTAAACTAAACCAAAATTCATCAGAGTAATAAAACAAGTCCAAACGTTGCGGAAGCATAAAAAAACCAAACGTCTAACAGTCCATATAATCAAATAAAATAATGTAGTTTAATTATTAAAGTAAACAAGAGCCATCCACGCCACCACTTCACTGCCCTCTGGGTTGCCCATCCAAATCTGTGTTCCAACCTGCGTGCAGTCAAACAACAACGACTACACGCTCAGTGAAACACTGATGAAAATATACCTAATTTAGCATTAACTCACAGAATAGCTCCACATTAACATACAATCATCAACAGCATGTGGTCACGGAGAAAAATAGCTTAAATAAACATAATTATATTAACACCTTCCACTTGAACATCATGTCTTTATTTTATCCCACATCAACTACTTTGAGTCATGGCAACCCAAGCAATGCTATAAAAGGGCCAGCTCAGAAACCCAAAGGAGATTCACTTTGGGCGGGTTGAAGCCCCTGTCCCTGCGATGCCAGGACAGGTCGCGGACTTCCGTACGTACGTTTTTAACCCAAGACCACCGGGGTGCGACGACCCCCCGCAATGGCCAACTTCCTAACCATACCCTATTGGTGATTCAATCAGTCAATCCAATTTAGGCCAGCCTAATTATACTAGGTGGCATATTTCCCATATATCATTCATAATCCACAATATTCACCAATAATATCAATTTAACTTAAATTTCAGTTCACAAGTCACAACAAGTCACGTAGCGGCCTATCCGGGCCAAAGACCCACGATTACCGTCATGCATAATCAAACAACCCGAATTAAAAATTAACCCAACTTACCTGCGCGGAGTCGAGACCAAAGAATCGATCCTCGGGCCCATTTCCCCCGCCGGAGCAGTATCAATTACCACCGGATCAGCCAACAACCCGCCGGACCAACCCGGCAACCCCAACCCGTTGCCCGTTGACAGTCGTAGTTTTTCGGGTAGTAAACCTTCCCAGGAAAGGGTTAGTTTTCTCTCCGAGTGTCGTGTCTCTCGAGGAGTGGACGAAGGGAATTAGTTTAATTACTCTAATTAGGCGAAGGCTTGGACAGGTTTATGAAAGTCTTCTCGGAACGATTATAAAAGGAGCAGAGTAAAAATAATAAATTAATTTTACATAGTATAAGTTTAGATCTGGACCTAGGGTCGGAACATCATTTGGATCTATTTTATCATATTAAATTAACAATTGGAATAATAATATTTCTATTATTACTCATCCATTTCTAGATTTGTACTTAATCCGTTGTACTTGAATATCATAACCCTTTTGGGATACAATATTTTCTCAATAAATAGCTAATTAAATCTTTCGAGATTAATTAACTAAATAAGGGAAGAACAATTGACTAATCATTCCAACATTAATTTAACATTCAAAATACATCACCAAACTAGTCCGGGCCCAGAGATCTGGACCCTAACTCATACTATGCAAACATGAATTAAAACAGCATTTTATCAAATAAAGGAAACTTACAACTTCCGTACAAGCGGAATTGAACAGATCTAGAGTCGAAACCTCCGAAAATACTTCAAAACTAACACTAACACTAATCTACACGAAATATTGACTAAAATAGAGAGGAAACCCGAGTGGGGTTGAGAGATGGTGTTGAAATGAAGAGGATCCGCGCTGTATTTATAGGCTACGAACTATGGGCGTCCAACTCCCTGGGCATCCAACTTTGGACGCCCGTACACCCAACACGTGTTCCGTCGAGTCGCTGGTTGCTGCGTGTCATTCCCGTGTTAGCTGTGGTTTCTTGGGCGTCCAACTTTGGACGCCCAAGATCCGAATCTTGCACCCAATTTGCGAATATTCGAGATCTTGGCCCATTTTTGCTCCGTTTGACTCCCGAACACTGATTTCTACCTCCAAAGTATTATGATCTTTAAACTCTGAAACTTTTCATCCAATTTGGAGCATAAAATTGACGAATCCACTTAATTTAATTTGGAACCCATATTTTATTCTTTTTGAGACAAAACCTAAGTTTTGTCACTAATAGACACTTTAATGGGTAAATTTATTACTATTTTCGTGGAATAACGCTTAAAGTATGTAGAATAAAATAAGAACAAAATGAACTTATCAAATTCCTCACACTTAAACGTTGTTTGCCCTCAAGCAACAAATTGAATAAGTTATGTATGAAAACAAATCAGCAATCACAAAAGAAAAGTTTAAGTTACACAACTTGAAGGAAATGAAAGATAAGATGATCATCAACGTTTTTGCGTGAACAAGTAAATTTTTAGATTCTCACCCATATTGTTAGAAATTTAAAAATATTTTGTCAAACTAATATTTTTACCCCATTAAATCAAATTAAACTCTAAATTTTCATTGGGATAATCATATTTTAAGGATTATTTTGAAATCAAAAAGCGTTTAAAAGCTCTAATAAAAATAGATTCCCAAAATGGTTTTGTCAAACAATATAATAAGGGCCTATTTATTTCATTAAGCATTATTTATCACGAGAGAATTCTCGGCATATTGCATTACTGAGATTGTGGATTTATTCTATGACAAATGCATACTTGCTCCCTCGCCTTATGCGATTAGCGGGAGAAGCAAAGCCCCTTTATGGAGATAGAATTTCCAATTCGTCACTTAAGCGCAATCCCAACAAATAAAATTTAAACCATTAGAATTTTTTATATAGACCCTTATATTTAGAAGAAACCTTTATGAGAAACGACATTTTTAAAGAAGCTATTTAAAAATTGATTGATCTTAAAAAAAAACTTAGAAAATACTAATGTATCCCAAATGATTTTAGAAATCGTTTGAAAAAAAATTACGGAAAAAGAATAAAAGTTGACAAAAAATTTAAAAATTCCCAGTTTTTATGGGTGATAACTTAAAACCTAATTATTTAAACAAAAGAGTTGATAACCATACTTATAAAAATCTTTACCCACAAATATGCAAAGCAAACAATTCTAACCCGGAATATTTCAACTAATAATTCACATCCTCCTCACACTTGAACGGAACCGCGCCCTCGCGGCAAAAAAATGTTTCAGAGTAGAATTTTGGTTGAAGTATCAAAGATATGATGACTAAGATGATTGCATAAGTAAAATATTCAAAATGATGATTGAAATAGTAAATAAGCATAACCATAAAAGTTTACTAGAAGAAGTCAAATAGGAATCCAAACAAACCAGTCAAGTCATCAATTCCAGCTCAAATAAGATAAAAAGTTCTTGGAGAAAGTAGGAGATCACTGCGGAGGCTGGGAGGTGGAGGGACCCTTGTCTCGGGGCTACTGTTGATGCGGCGGGAGGTTTGTCTATTGGAACACGGGTTTACGCCTATGTCGTACTAAACCGTGTTCGTTTTATGATAGGTTTTGATAATGCCAAACCGCTGTGACAATAACAAGGTTAAACTGAGCAAGACCGGCACAAACTTCAAAACTTGGCTCTCTAGGCTCGCTTCACTAAAATACTTTTTGCATATTCAAAAATGTTTTTCATAAGTTTTAAACAAGCCTAAAAACACTTGGAGTTCGCCCAAACCAAAAACCAAGCCATCCGGCGTTCGGTTTTCAAAAACCAGCGTTCGGCTTTCGGTTATCGGCGTTGGTTTTTGGCGTTCCAACCAACCAAGTGGTTTTCAACTTTTTATGATTTTTTTTACTTCTAGGCATATTTAAATAGTTCTCCAACAAAAACGCTTCAAAAACCACCTTTCGTTTTTGGTCGTTTAGTGAAAACCACTCGAAACGGCGTAACCTTGGCTAGCCGTGGTTTTTATCTCAATGACGTGGTTTTTAAGATGTTTTACTTGATTTCTTAGCAAAATGAATTAAACAAATGTTTTCAATACTTGGTTTTTACTTTGGAGAACTTAGATTTTTGAGATCAGCTAACGGCATGACTAAACCAACCATGGGTCTGGCTAAACCAGCCCAACAGTGATGTTGGTGTAACCAACAGCGCTGTCTGGCATGGGTAGCTGAAAACCATGGTTTGGCGTTAAGTCTTCAAACAGCGATGTTGGATGTTAGACATCGCTGTTGAGCCAAGGTTGGGTTTCCAGAAACATCTGGAACAGCGATGTAGACTATCCTACATCGCTGTCCAACCTAAGCCAAAAAGAAATGTCTTTGGCAAAGAGTTCTTGGACAGCGATGTTAACCCAGCAACAGTGCTGTCAGGCCAACTCCTTCCCCTTCAAAGTCAGGCATGAACAGCGATGTTCAAGTAATGAACATCGATGTAGGCACCTGATCGTTGGAAGGAATTTATGGCTAAAACTTTCCTTGTTTGGAAGTCAACAGCCAAAACAGCGATGTAGGGGTTTTGGACATCGCTGTTGGCATGACCGTTGCTTCCTAATTTTCAAAAATCAAGCCTAGAGCAGCGATGTCCAAGCCATGGACAGCGCTGTCTAGAAGATTTTCAGCAGATCCAATTTTAATGAAATCCCACAAATTGTGCCAATCACCCCTTAAATGTTTTGATCCGTTGGAGCCTATTCTTCCATTATAAAATGGGGTGTTTGGGTCTGTTTTACATATCACATTACTTCACAACTCTCATTCTTTCATTGCATACAATTCATATATTATTCATAGCTTTTCGAGAGCCATTTTTGTGAAGTTTGTGTTGTGTTCTTGAGCGTTCTTAGTTACTCATTATCTACTCTAAAAGAGAGTTTTGTTTTTGAGTGATTTAGTGTTCTTAGACACTTGACAAGAGAAAATATTTCTCTTGTTGTTCGAAGGAAGGGTTGTTTCCTTCGAAGGTTCGTTGAGGTTCGTGTGACCCGAACTCTCAAGTTGTACGTGTTTGTTAAGCATCGTTAAGCTTAACGAGATAGTAGTGTAGCTCGAGAGAGTCTCTCGGGAGGCTGGGTTAGCCACAAGTTGTGGTGAACCAGGGTAAATTCGGTGTGCCTCTTACTCTTCTCTTTACTTCTCATTTGAATTTTTAATTACTGCGATTTCTACGAACAAACGCTATTCATCCCCCTCTAGCGTTGGTCTATTATTCTAACATTTGGTATCAGAGCCTAACTCGTGTCCAAACTTAACCGTTTGAGAGTAAAGCGATCATGGGTTCTTCTTCTAGAAATCTTTATACAGGGATCGGAGAAGGTCAATCAACTTCTAGGCCACCACTCTTTGATGGCACCAACTACACATATTGGAAAGAGCGGATGAGAATTTATATCCGCTCAACCAACTTCGAGTTGTGGTTGGTGAAAAAACGCCAATGAAGAAGGTTGGTGAAAAACTCGTCCCAAAGACCGAGGACGAATTTGATGCCGAAGACATAAAAAAGGTGGAGAACTACGACAAGGCAATCAACATGTTATACTGTGCAGTCAACCCCGTTGATTATCGCAAGATCTCTTGCTGCACCACCGCCAAAGAAATGTGGGACAAGCTGGAGGTCACATACGAAGGTACGGACCAAGTTTGGGAAGCCAAAATTGACTTCCTAACGCAGGAGTACGAGATGTTTATGATGAAGGAAGGCGAAAAGATCAATGACATGTTCGATCGGTTTTCCAAGATCATCAACGACCTTCATGCCCTCAAGAAGACTTACACCAACAAGGATTTCACAAAGCAAGCAAAGAGACGGTGGAAGAAGTCTCAAGCGATGATGACAACGAGTTCGGACTCGTCAGCAAGAAATTCCACAAATTTATGAAGAAGGAATTTGAGCGCAAAGGAAGAAAGCACGACGGTCCCCTGAAGTGCTATGGCTGTGGCGAGATAGGCCACATCAAGCCGAGGTGTCCAAAAGGCAAAAGCGGCAAGGACAAACCTAGCTTCAAAAAGCAAAGAGCCTATATCTCATGGGGTGGCGACTCCGGCGACGAGTCAACAGATCAAGAAGAGGATGAAGCCGCCAACCTCTGTCTCATGGCACACAAAGACCATGCCGATGAAGTACAAGATGTGTGCTTGAAGGCGTCAAGTGTACTTTGGTACCTTGATAGCGGATGCTCCAAGCACTTGACCGGAGATGCATCCAAGTTCATACAAATCAAACCCGCTAAAGGAGGAAACGTAGTCTTCGGAGATAATAGCAAGGGAAAGATTATTGGCATCAGTTCGGTAGGTAAGTCCGAAGACTCCTCTATAGATAATGTCTTGCTAGTTAAGGGTCTTAAACACAATCTCTTGAGCATAAGTCAATTATGTGACAAGGGAAACCGTGTGATCTTCGATTCAAAATCATGCACGGTAGAATGCCTTAGTGACAATAAGGTCATTCTACGTGGTGATATAATCGATAACATATATATGGTTAACTTAGACAAATCTCATTCTGGCTTTGCTAAGTGCCTCATGAGTAAAGAGGAAGACACTTGGTTATGGCACCGAAGGGTAGCTCATATGTACATGAACCTTTTGAACAAATTGGTTTCACAAGACTTAGTAAGTGGCATTCCAAAACTTAAGTTTGAAAAAGACACCATATGTGATGCATGTCAAAAAGGGAAGCAAGTTCGGGCTTCGTTTAAGTCTAAGAACGTTGTTTCAACGTCTAGACCGCTTCAACTTTTGCACATGGATCTCTATGGTCCTTCTAGAATGAAAAGTTTTGGTGGTAATTACTTTGCGTTTGTGATTGTCAATGACTACTCTAGGTTTACATGGACCTTGTTTCTAACTCACAAAAGTGAGGCATTTCATGTTTTCAAAAAAGTTCTATAGAAAGTTCAAAATGAAAAAGAAACAACCATAGTAGCCATAAGAAGCGACCATGGGGGAGAGTTCGAACGAAATCTATTCTCAGATTTATGTGACGAACTAGGCATTGATCATAATTTCTCAGCCCCACGCACACCACAACAAAATGGAGTGGTGGAACGTAAAAATAGATGTCTCGAAGAGATGGCTAGAACTATGATCAATGAGGCAAAAATCCCTAAGTATTTTTGGGCGGATGCTGTGAGTACCGCGAGCTACGTGTTAAACCGAGCCGTCATTCGACCGATACTCATGAAAACGCCTTATGAACTATACAAAGGGAGAAAGCCAAACCTTTCCCATCTTCGAGTCTTTGGTTGCAAATGTTTTATTCATAACAACAGCAAAGACAATTTAGGCAAATTTGATGCCAAGTCGGATGAAGGGATTTTTCTGGGTTACTCATTACGTAGCAAGGCCTATAGAGTCTTTAATAAACGTACCTTGACTATTGAGGAGTCCCCTCACGTTGTATTTTCCGAAGATAATCCTCGCTTAGCGTGAAAGGATAATTGTGATGATCTTGCAGATTCATTAGAGAGAATACACGTCGAAGACGATGAAGAGAACACGGGAATATACATCAACACACAGCCGCAAATTGGGGAGACGCCTCAAGCGACTAATCAAGGTGAAGAAGAAAATCAAGAGGAAGAAAAAGAACAAGAGGAGCACGACGAAGAAGCAACCGAGGTTCCCGTTGCACGGAGAACGAACAAGAACCACCCGCTTGACCAGGTAATTGGTAGCATCAACCGCGGGGTAAGTACTCGAAACTCACTTAGGGACACCGTAGGACACATGGCTTTTGTTTCTCAAATTGAACCTACAACCATGTGTGAAGCAATAAACGATGAACATTGGACCTTGGCTATGCAAGAGGAGCTAAACCAATTCAAACGGAATGACGTTTGGGAATTGGTGCCAAGGCTCGATGATCGTACGATTATTGGTACGAAATGAGTGTTCCGTAACAAACTTGATGAAAATGGAATAATCACTAGAAACAAAGCTAGGCTCGTAGCTAAAGGCTACAATCAAGAAGAAGGTATTGATTTTGAAGAAACTTATGCACCCGTAGCACGTTTAGAAGCTATTCGTTTACTTCTTGCTTTTGCCTCGTCTATGGATTTTAAACTTTATCAAATGGATGTTAAGAGTGCCTTCCTCAGTGGTTTTATTCAAGAGGAAGTGTATGTTGACCAGCCCCCGGGGTTTGAAGACTTTGAGTTTCCCGACCATGTCTTCAAACTCAAGAAAGCGCTCTACGATCTTAAACAAGCACCCCGTGCCTGGTAAGCACGTTTGAGTAAATTTCTTTTGGACAGTGGTTTCCAAAGGGGAAAGGTCAACACTACACTTTTTATCAAGAGTAAAAACACTAACATCCCTTTGGTTCAAGTTTATGTAGACGATATTATATTCAGTGCTACTAACGAGTCTTTGTGCAAGGAATTCTCAATGTTAATGACAAGTGAATTCGAAATGTCAATGATGGGCGAGCTCACGTTCTTTTTGGGACTCCAAGTCGAGCAAATGAAAGATGGCATGTTCATTTGCCAAACTAAATATTGCAAGGAGCTCCTAAAACATTTCGAAATGGACAACGCCAAAGCCATGGCGACCCCGATGAGCACGTCCGACCATCTTGACAAAGACGAGAAAGGTAAGGAAGTAGAAGTCAAAAAGTATCGAGGTATGATCGGATCCCTTCTCTATCTTACCGCTAGTAGGCCAGATATCATGTTTAGCGTATGCCTTTGCACAAGGTATCAATCGTGTCCTAAGGAATCGCACTTAATGGCAGTGAAACGGATCATTAAATACCTTGTTGGAACGGTTAACGTTGGACTGTGGTATCCAAAAGGCTCTTCGTGTCATCTCGTTGGTTATTCCGACTCGGACTTTGCCGGTTGCAAATTGGACCGTAAAAGTACGAGTGGGACTTGCCACTTATTTGGTAGCTCTTTAGTTTCATGGTTTAGTAAGAAGCAAGTGAGTGTTGCGTTATCCATAACCGAAGCGGAATACGTTGCCGCCGGTAGTTGTTGCGCTCAAATCCTTTGGATGATGCAACAACTCGTGGACTATGGCCTTAGTATCAGTCACGTTCCACTTCGTTGTGATAATACTAGCGCCATAAGCTTGACGAAGAACCCCGTTCTTCACTCAAGGACGAAACACATTGACATTAGGCATCATTTCATTAGAGATCATGTTCTCAAAGGTGATGTCGAAATCGAGTTCGTTGAAACACACAACCAATTAGCTGACATTTTCACAAAACCTTTAGAGAAAGAGTCGTTCTTTCGCATTCGAAGTGAACTCGGAATCCTTGACTCCACGATGATCTAAGTTGTGCATTTTCACTTGTTAAACGTTTACTAACTTGAGCGTCGAAGAACTTTTTCTTTTTTGCAGGTACCCCGCTCATAAAATCTGGGGGAACCATGCCTACAGCGCTGTCCAAGAGACCAACAGCGCTGTTGAGAGAAACACTGTCAACTATCTTGCTAAAACAGCGATGTACAATACTCTAACATCGCTGTCACAGGGAGTCTTCTTATTCTTTGCTTTCCAGAAACTTTTTGTACATCGATGTAGCATTTCTAAACATTGTTGTCTCCCTAAACACCATGTTTTCAAGCAAAACCTGAATGTTCTTCAACAGCGATGTACACTGGAGCAACATCGCTGTCCACTTTTACAAATTTTTTTTCTATCGTAAAAAAGCGATGCAGGGAAACCCAAAAATGTTGTTCTAATGGGTTCAAACCCTTACACATTTCCAAAAAGTTTTGGAACATCGCTGTAGGAAACCCAACATCGCTGTCCTTTTGACACCTCGTTTTAAAACTTAACGCAGAACAGCATTGTACAAGGGTACAACAACGATGTCCCAACAGCGATGTCGCCTTTAAAACATCGCTGTTCTCATTGATTTTTTCAAAAAAAATATACGTTGGGCACTGCATTAAATGCTCCAACAGCCATTTTCAAACTTTTGAACGTTGGGAACCCCTCTCCCCATATATTTGTGTCTCCTCTCTTCACTTTTACACACACAAACACAAATCTCTTCAATATTCAAGCAAATTTCATCTTCTCTACAACTTTTATTGAGATTTCTTCATCACCATGGGCAAAGACAAGAGCAGGGCAGGAACTTCCGGGAAATCCAAGTCCAAATCCCGGGCTCCTACGACGTCCCCCGAGGAACGCCTCTACTATGGCGATGGGTCGTACCTTTTGCTCGATTCCGAGGAGGGGCGCACCCGTTTCCTCACCATCTTCTCTAAACGGGTTGTGGCTCCCCCAAGGATCGTCCCGGAGCGCCTACTGGAGCTGCAAGGCTACGACGACCTCAACGTACAGCTTCACCAAACCGGCCTATGGCCGTTCGTCTCCCGGGATCAGAAGGAGATCAACCCGGCGCTGATCCGGGCCTTCTACTTGAATCTCCGGCGTGAGGACGATGTCATCTACAGCCTCGTCAAGTCCACGCCGATTGAGCTCACTGTTGAGCAGCTTGGGCGCATCGCCGGCCTCCCCTACCAAGGCGACGACATCTCCCTCTATGGCGGAGAAGACTGGGTGCTCAACAAATGTGGGCCTTCTCTTCAACGAGCTTGGCATCACCGAGCTCATTCGTCATCCCAGGGGCCGCCCCACCATTCACTCCGCGTCCCCCGAGGGCTGTCTCCTCCTCTACATCGTGTCCCGGATCATCAAGCCCCGGAAGCATGGGCACACGATTATGTCCGGTGAAGACATCAAGCTCCTCCATGCGATCATGCACTCGACCCCTTTCAATTGGGCAAAGTTTGTCATGATCAACATGACGATCGCTGCGTCTACCGCCCACGATCACCTCCTCCTGTACCCGTTTGTGGTGATGGACATCCTTGAATGGTTCAAGGTCACCACCACTGTTGGCCCGCTCACGAAGGCCACGAAGCTTTGGACGATCAGCGGCCAAACCTTCACCAAGCGGTCGGACAACGCCGCGCCTGCCACTGCCGCGCCACGCCGCACTGCCACTGCCACTGGCCCAGCCGAACCCCAGGCCCGGGCCAACCTTGCCTCCATCACCGACTCTCTCAACCGCCTGCACTTCAAATTCGACGGGATGGATGGCTACCTTGAACGGCTCGACGAGGCTGTTCAACGCCAAGGGCACGCCATGAACGCGTACTTCCAACGCGTTAACTACGTCCCCCCCACCGTACCATGGCAAGTTCCTTGGGGAAGTGTACGGTGACAAGGACGAAGAGGATGGCTCCTACGCCCCGTCAAGCTCCCCGGAAGAGGATGAGTTCGATGATGCCATTGACGGTGATGAGATGGACGACGACGACGAGGAGGAAACCGAAGACGAAGACTAGGACGCCCCTAGAATTTCTATCTCATTTCTTTTAATTATCATGTTTTTTTAAATGCTTTTCGTTGTACTCCGCTATTTCCCATTTCAATAAATAAAAGTTATCTTTTATCTTTTTGTTAATGTCAAAAGGGGGAAGAAAAGGGCTATGCATATACTAAGGGGGAACGTCTCTAAAAACGGGATCGTTTGATTTTAATATGCCTACTTGCTTTTAAGCACAAATTAAGGGGGAACTTTTTTCACTACCTTTTGAAAATCAAATATCCCTTAGTATGCATATCCCCGTCTTGTTTGCCATTATCAAAAAGGGGGAAATTGTTAGAACACGGGTTTACGCCAATGTCGTACTAAACCGTGTTCGTTTTATGACAGGTTTTGATAATGCCAAATCGCCGAGACAATAACAAGGTTAAACTGAGAAAAACCAAGGCGAAGGAACATGGAATGATGAACTGAGAATCGAGAACCAAGAACCAAGAACGAAGAGTTAGAATTTATTGAGTTGGTCTTAATGTGATCAAGACCGGCACAAACTTCAAAACTTGGGTCTTGGGCTAGCTTCACTAAAATACTTTTTGCATATTCAAAAATGTTTTTCATAAGTTTTAAACAAGCCTAAAAACACTTGGAGTTCGCCCAAACCAAAAACCAAGCCATCCGGCGTTCGGTTTTCAGAAACCAGCGTTAGGCTTTCGGTTATCGGCGTTGGTTTTTGGCGTCCGAACCAACCAAGTGGTTTTCAACTTTTTATGATTGTTTTTTACTTCTAGGTATATTTAAATAGTTCTCCAACAAAAACGCTTCAAAAACCACCTTTCGTTTTTGGTCGTTTAGTGAAAACAACTCGAAACAGCGTAACCTTGGCTAGCTGTGGTTTTTATCTAAATGACGTGGTTTTTAAGATGTTTTACTTGATTTCTTTGCAAAATACCTTAAAAAAATGTTTTCAATACTTGGTTTTTACTTTGGAGAACTTAGATTTTTGAGATTGGCTAACGGCATCACTAAACCAACCATGGGTCTAGCTAAACCAGCCGAACAGCGATGTTGGTGTAACCAAGAGCGCTGTCTGGCATGGGTAGCTGAAAACCATGGTTTGGCGAAGTCTTCAAACAACGATGTTGGATGTTAGACATCGCTGTTGAGCCAAGGTTGGGTTTTCATAAACATCTGGAACAGCGATGTAGACTATCCTACATCGCTGTCCAACCTAAGCCAAAAAAATGCCTTTGGCAGAGAGTTCTTGGACAACGATGTTGACCGAGCAACAGCGCTGTCAGGCCAACTCCTTCCCCTTCATAGTCAGGCTTGAACAGCGATGTTCAAGTAATGAACATCGATGTAGGTACATGACCGTTGGAATGAATTTATGGCTAAAACTTTCCTTGTTTGGAAGTCAACAGCCAAAACAGCGATGTAGGGGTTTTGGACATCGTTGTTGGCATGACCGTTGCTTTCTAATTTTCAAAAATCAAGCCTAGAACAGCGATGTCCAAGCCATGGACAGCGCTGTCTAGAAGATTTTGAGCAGATCCAATTTTAATCAAATCCCACAAATTGTGCCAATCACCCCTTAAAAGTTTTGATCCGTTGGAGCCTATTTTTCCACTATAAAATGGGGTGTTTGGGTTTGTTTTACATATCACATTACTTCACAACTCTCATTCTTTCATTGCATACAATTCATATATTATTCATAGCTTTTCGAGAGCCATTTTTGTGAAGTTCGTGTTGTGTTCTTGAGCGTTCTTAGTTACTCATTAGCCACTCTAAAAGGGAGTTTTGTTCTTGAGTGATTTAGTGTTCTTAGACACTTGACAAGAGAAAATATTTCTCTTGTTGTTCGAAGGGTTGTTTCTTTCGAAGGTTCGTTGAGGTTCGTGTTACTCGAACTCTCAAGTTGTACGGGTTTGTTAAGCACCATTAAGCTTAACGAGATAGTAGTGTAACTCGAGAGAGTCTCTCGGGAGGCTGGATTAGCCACAAGTTGTGGTGAATTAGGGTAAATTCGGTGTGCCTCTTACTCTTCTCTTTACTTCTCATTTGAATTTTTAATTCCTGCGATTTCTACGAACAAACGCTATTCACCCCCCTCTAGCGTTGGTCTATTATTCTAACATTATCGGGTTTTCAAAACCCAACGCCTCACGCATCCTGTCTAGTCCATGCACCTGCTGCTGGAGTGCCGCGATGGACCGCATAAGTGTATTCTGGTTCTCCAAGAGCTGCTGGGCCAATGCCGGTGCTACCTCCGTCTGAGCGCGAGCCAACTGTGCTCTGGTGGGTCGTCGACGAGGAAGGCGCTGAGAGAGTGTCTGTGACTGACCGGAAGACTCTCCCATCTCATGTGAAGTGCAGCCAATAGAGGCCGTAGTGCTCACAGAAGAGCTAGGAAAGAGTCTCTTGTGGATGTGAGCATTCCGAAGCATGCCGGCATCTAACTCCCTCATCACCTGCACAGGCCGTGGATCGGTGCGTTCCCCATGAGGGAGCGAAAGAGCAGTGTAATCACGAACCCACAGACCAAGTGCATCCTACACCCGTAGGACTGGGAGTATAAAAATATGGCCAGGTACACAGCCACGTTCGCCAGCTGGCGGTCGTGCAAGCTCCAGAAGACAAACATATCCTCCTCGTAGACCCTATTTGTGTTCAACGGCCTTCCAAAGAAGGATGTCGAAAGAACAAAAGATAGGATCCTCCAGTTGGGCCGAATCCAGTATCGCGCCTTACTTTTCTTGTTGACGAACTCTTGCTCGTCAGATGAATGCTCCCTCTAGAAAGCCTTGTGGTCAAAGTCTACGGGAACACGGAAGGGAGCGTCGTAGAACTCAGGCTGCTTGGTCTCCTCCTGAGTGTAAAGCCCGAGATGAAATGACTGGCCCACAAGAGTGAAGGCAAATATGGTATTAGCGGTGATCAAAGTATAAGTCATCTGTCGTGAATCAATCTCCGGGACAGCAGATATCGAGCATAAGAACTCGATGGTTAGTGGTAGGCTAGACTCTGCCCTCAGCTGAAGTAGGCGCTGCCATCTGGTCCCCTCAAGCAGCTCCTCCATCTCCTCTGCATAGCCATAGTCCGTAAGCGTGTCTTGAGCTAGACACACCAACTCGTGTAATACCCACGAGTGTCCCCACTCATCGAACCTCGTCCTAGAGGCAGTATCAATCAAGTGGACCTCATTACGGTCCACAGTAGGGTACGAAGGTCGATGAGGCATCTGCACACACACAAACAAACACATAAAATCTTGCCCCCAAAACTGGTGCGACAAGTAGAAACACAAAAATAACTAATAAGATTATTGATTTTATTTAATTATTTTAGTTATTTGAAATGACGGGTTGCCTCCTGTTAAGCGCTTCTTTAACGTCTGTAGCTTGACGCTCACCTACTTTTTCCGCGACTTCCCGATCTGAGAGTCATAAAGTTTGGCCCTTCTGACTCTCTTCTGATGCCACCTTGTTTCATTTGTTGTTCGGTCAAGGTCCAGGATCCTTGACTCATCCCTGCGGCTTGGTGGCAACAAGATATATGGAGGAGACTTTGTATAGGGGGTGGGGGCGGAAGTCTCCTCAGTAGATCCACATTATTAGCCTTGATTGCAAAATTGATTTCTTCCTTACCTTCAATTAGCTGCCTGTCCATTTGTGGTTTAATGATTACGACCGTGCTTTCCCCCATGGAAGAGTCCTCATGGTCACTCACTAGAAGTTCATCCCAACTCTTTAAATTCCAACCATCCTTCGGGCAGACATAGTCATACCCATCAAGTAGGGAATCAAAGAAAGCATGGTCTGTATCTTCAGATGAATCATTATTTGCGCAGGTTTCTATAGACGGAATTGGCCTTTCTATGCACAATTCTTCCTCATCTATAGGTTCCTCCTCAGACTCGTGGGTATTGGAATCTTGGGGGTTTGTTGTGGGCTCTATTTCCTCCAGAGCAAGTTCCTCTAGAGGCGTGTCTTCAACACAATTAAGGAGACGGTCATTTATTGCCATAGGCAGAACTTCCTCCTCCTTTTCTTCTTGAATAAGCATAGGTGGTTCTGAGTCAGGTCTAGTTGGTTCCACCTCACGTACGACTATGTTGGCTAGGACTTGGCTAGGAAGAGATTCAGGTAATATCACCACAGTAGCCCTAGCGAGTGTTGTTATGCTCTCGGGTTTTTGTGATGGTGTAGAACTAGGTGAATCTTCTAGAACTGGAACCTGATGGTGGAATGATTCAGGGTTGGTCTTAGGTTCTAGAGCCTCTTTTTGAGGTTGGAGGGAGCGTTTAAACTCAATAGCCTTACAGAGATCATTGACTAATTTATCAGCTTTAGCCTCAGCTTCTAGTCTCTCTCTTTGAAAGTCGTCCAGCATTTTCTGCATCATTTTTAAGAACTCCTTTTCCTTCCGGACTGATTCAAGAAGTTTTGCTCTTTCTCGAATTGCCACCTTGTTTGCTTCAATTTGTTCTTCAACAAACAGGGTGTAGTCATTGCAGTAAGGTGGTTTGTACCAAGAGCATTCAGCAAATAAAATTTTGTCAAAATAGAAGATCTTCTGTTCTAATCTTATTATTTCTTTGAGGAGCGGATCAGGTTGATCGTCGTATGTACGCCCATTGTGGTCAAAATCATCTTGGTCTCCATGAGATTCATAATAATTATCCCTATCTGTGTCTTGGTATGGAGAATATCCAAGGTTCCTAGACGGGATATCATATGGTGGTTCCTCATGGTAGGGATAGTAGTCACACCCATTGTTGACTCGGTCGTCATCATCGTATGGGTTCTGATGTGGGTGGTAAGATGGATGGGTTTGGTACGGGGGGCGGTTGGGTGATTAGTAGAAAGAAGGCGGGCCTTAATAACCACTAGAGTTATCCATAATAATTATTACGGTTGGTTGGTGAAAGAAGTGAGAAGATCGTTCTAACCAATCTTCACCCAAGCTAATCAGAAGAAATTAAACTAATGTTGTGCCACTCCCCGGCAACGGCGCCATTTGACAGTCGTAGTTTTTCGGGTAGTAAACCTTCCCAATAAAGGGTTAGTTTTCTCTCCGAGTGTCGTGTCTCTCGAGGAGTGGACGAAGGGAATTAGTTTAATTACTCTAATTAGGCGAAGGCTTGGACAGGTTTATGAAAGTCTTCTCGGAACGATTATAAAAGGAGCAGAGTAAAAATAATAAATTAATTTTACATAGTATAAGTTTAGATCTGGACCTAGGGTCGGAACATCATTTGGATCTATTTTATCATATTAAATTAACAATTGGAATAATAATATTTCTATTATTACTCATCCATTTCTAGATTTGTACTTAATCCGTTGTACTTGAATATCATAACCCTTTTGGGATACAATACTTTCTCAAAAATAGCTAATTAAATCTTTCGAGATTAATTTACTAAATAAGGAAAGAACAATTGACTAACCATTCCAACATTAATTTAACATTCAAAATACATCACCAAACTAGTCCGAACCCAGAGATCCGGACCCTAACTCATACTATGCAAACATGAATTAAAACAACATTTTATTAAATAAAGGAAACTTACAACTTTCGTACAAGCGAAATTGAACAGTTTGGAGTCAAAACCTCCAAAAATACTTCAAAACTAATACTAACACTAATCTACACGAAATATTGACTAAAATAGAGAGGAAACCTGAGTGGGGTTGAGAGATGGTGTTGAAATGAAGAGGATCCGCGCTGTATTTATAGGCTACGAACTACAGGCATCCAACTCCCTGGGCATCCAACTTTGGACGCCCGTACACCCAACACGTGTTCCGTCGAGTCGCTGGTTGCCACGTGTCATTCGCGTGTCAGCTGTGGTTTCTTGGGAGTCCAGCTACCCCGGACGTCCAACTTTGGACGCCCAAGATCCGAATCTTGCGCCCAATTTGTGAATATTCGAGATCTTGGCCCGTTTTTGCTCTGTTTTGGTACGTTTGACTCCCGAACACTGATTTCTACCTCCAAAGTACTATGATCTTTAAAATCTGAAACTTTTCATCCAATTTGGAGCATAAAATTGACAAATCCACTTAATTTAATTTGGAACCCGTATTTTATTCTTCTTGAGACAAAACCTAAGTTTTGTCACTAATAGACACTTTAATGTGTAAATTTATTACTATTTTTGTGCAATAACGCTTAAAGTATGTAGAATAAAATAAGAACAAAATGAACTTATCACCCGTTCAGGCAGCCCCACTCAACCGGCCCAACGCTGCCGGCCCAACGCAGCCGGCCCAACAACTGGACCCGCCAGCCCAGCAGCCCGGACAGTCCGCCCAACGACCCGGTTAGCCCAACTGCCCGGACAGCCCCAATTGAATCTAAACCAACCCGTTTGCACCAAAGTCAATCCCAATTGAAACCCGATTGCACAAGAGGTAACCCAATTGAACCCGAATTGACCCGATTAAACCAATTCGGTCCAAATCAAACAAATTGGGTCCAAATTGGACCCGCCGAAAACTGCCCGTACGTCGGCTGTAGCCACCGCCGGCCAATCGCCGAAAAACAGCCCCCAACACAACCCCAATCCAATCTAATGCACAATCAACCACAAATTTCACAATCAAACACAAAATTGTTACCACAAGATCATAATCTACGAATTAATTCCAACTATAGATATAGTAACCACGAATTACCTCGAAATTGAAGAATCAAAAACCAAATTGAAAGAGAGAAGCTCGCTGCTGCACTCCCTGTTGCGGTCGAATCTACCATGCGACGGAGAAGGAGGAACGGCGACGGCGGCTACAGCGTTCGGCGAGGGCGGCGTCGGCGGAGCTCGGCGGCGCTGCTGCTGGCTGACGGGATGACGAGAGTGAAGGAAAGTCAAGCGCAGAGGTACTGATGGGAAACGTACGAGGAATGGAGAGTGTTTGTTTCTTTGTAACCCCTCCTTATTCGGTAGTCATATCTTGGGCCCTGTAAGTCTGATTCTCAATCTGTTCGCGCGGTCGAGTTTTGAACAGCGAGCCCTACAACGTAGGTCAACTCTCATATTAAATACGTAAATTAGAAAATAATCTTCATTTTGACTAAGTCAGTAATTAATTAATTATATAAATTAATTACAAATACCAACCCGGGTTTTGGGGCGTTACATTTCTCTCCCCCTTAAAAGAATTTTGTCCTCGAAATTACCTGAATCACTATCGAAGAAGAGGTGAGGATACTGAACTCTCACGGACTCCTCGGTCTCCCACGTAGCCTCTTCGACAGCATGGTTACGCCACAAGACTTTGACTAGAGGCACCCTCTTATTCCTCAACTCTTTCACCTCTCTTGCTAGAATCTGCACCGGCTCATCCTCATATGTCAAGTTCTCGTCCAGAGTCACCGCACCTTCGGGAAATCGATGGGTCGGATCTGATCGGCAACGTCGGAGCGTAGACACATGGAACATGTTGTGAATCTTGCTCAGCTCAAGTGGTAGCTCCAACTGATAAGCTACGGGGCCAACCTTCGTAGTGATGGGATAAGGCCCAATGAAATGAGGACTCAATTTTCCTCTCTTTCCAAAACGTAGAACCTTTTTCCAAGGTGACACCTTAAGAAAAACCTTATCCCCCACTTCGAAAGAAATCTCCCGACGCTTCAAGTCCGCATAAGATTTTTGCCGATCTGATGCTGTTTGCAAACGCTCACGGATTAACCGTACCTTTTCTTTTGTCTCACGAACAAGTTCGGGACCTTCCAATCTCGTTTCGCTCAATTCAGTCCAACACACTGGTGTTCTACACCTCCTCCCGTACAGTGCCTCGTATGAGGCCATCTGAATACTCGCCTGATAACTATTATTATAAGCAAACTCCATCAACGGCAAGTATCGCTCCCAATTTTCCCCAAAGTCGATCACACACGCTCTCATCATGTCCTTAAGTATCTGTGTCACACGCTTAGATTGACCGTCAGTCTGAGGGTGGAAGGCTGTGCTCAAGTTTAACTTTGTACTCAAGGCCTGCTGGAGTCCCTTCCAGAACTTTGAAGTGAAACGGGGATCTCTGTCGGAGATAATGGATACACGTACCCCATGCAACCGAACAATCTCGCGGAGGTACAACTCCGCTAACTTCTGTAGTGACATATCTCATCGAACAGGTAGGAAATGCGTAGATTTCGTAAGACGATCCACGATGACTCATACAGCATCATTCTTACGGGGAGACAAGGGCAGCCCAATCACGAAGTCCATCGTGATCCGCTCCCACTTCCACTCAGGAATAGAAGGTGGATGCAACAATCTCGATGGTACTTGATGTTCAGCTTTGACTTGCTGACAAGTCAAGCATCGTGCTGTAAACTCACAAATTTCCTTCTTCATCACAGGCCACCAAGAGTTCCCCTTTAAGTCGTGGTACATCTTGTTACTTCCCGGATGTGTAGTGTATGCTGACTCGTGAGCCTCACGTAGCAGACGCTCCCTCACGTCCCTGTATGGTATCACAAGACGGTTGCGGAAAAACAAGATTCCATCAGCACCAACCGTAAACTCTGGTCTCCTCCCACTAGAGGCAAGGTCTCGTGTCATGCAACAGAACTCATCGTCCACCTGAGCATTCCGGATTTCCATATCTAACGTCGGTTGTACATGGAGTTCAGCTATCAGCTTGCGGCTCAAGGCATCGGCCACCACATTAGCCTTGCCCGGGTGATACTCGATGCTGAAATCGTAGTCCTGAGAAGTTCTAACAAGCGCCTCTGTCTTAGGTTCAGATCCTTCTAGGTCAACAAGTACCTCAAACTCTTATGATCAGTATATATAAGAATCTTTTCACCGAAAACATAGTGTCGCTAGATTTTCAAAGCAAAAACAACTGCTGCTAGCTCCAGATCATGAGTCGGATAATTACCCTCATGTGGTTTCAGCTGCCTCTAGGCATAGGCAACCACCCTACCTTCTTGCATGAGTACACAACCCAATCCACAAAGAGATGCATCACTGTAGATCGTGTACTCACGACCCGGGTCTGGCTGGATCAACACCGGGGCTTTAGTCAAACACTCCTTCAGCCTATCAAAACTGCTCTAGCACGCCTCTGTCCATGCAAACCTCACATCCTTCCGTAGGAGTTTAGTCAGAGGGGAAGCAATCGCGGAGAACTCTTTCACGAACCGACGGTAATATCCTGTCAGTCCGAGAAAACTCCTCACTTCCCTAGCATTACGGGGAACTTTCCAGTCAACTACAGCAGAAATCTTACTCGGGTCAACCTTTACCCCTTCAGCGAAGATCACGTGACCTAAGAAAGTCACCTCAAGCCAAAACTCACACTTGGACAACTTTGCGTAGAGTTTCTGCTCCCTCGGGATGGTTAATACTTTATATAAGTGGCACACATGTTCCTCGGGATTCTTTGAGTAAATGAGGATGTCATCGATGAAGACCACGACGAATTGATCCAAGTACGGCCGAAAGACACTGTTCATTAGATCCATAAAGATAGAAGGGGCATTAGTGAGTCCAAAAGGCATTACGGTGAACTCATAATGTCCGTAACGCGTCCTAACAGCTTTCTTCGGTATGTCTTCCTTCTTTACTGGAATCTGATGATATCCAGACCTTAAGTGAATCTTTGAGAACACCCTGGCTCCACGTAGCTGATCAAACAAATCATCAATGCGCGGTAATGGATAACGGTTTTTAACAGTCACCTTATTGAGCTGCCGGTAGTCAATGCAAAGCCTCACAGACCCATCCTTCTTTCGTACAAAAAGGACAGGTGCGCCCCAAGGGGAGACACTTGGGTGGATGAATCCCCTATCCAGCAACTCCTGTAACTGCGCCTTTAACTCCTTCATCTCTGCTGGAGCCATGCGATAGGGAGTGGCCGAAATGGGTTCCATACCAGGAACTAAGTCAATGGAGAATTCTATCTCCCTTGGGGGAGGCAGACCTGGTAGCTCGTCAGGAAACACGTCAGGAAAATCACGTACGGAAGGAATATCCTCAAGGCTAGGAGGCTCCTTCCGTACATCTTTCACGGTGCATAGGAATGCCTCGCACTTCTTTCGGATCAATCTCTTGGCTTGCATATAAGAGCTAGATAAACTCAGGCGCCTTGGGAAATAACTCTCCATCGATCATGATTATGTCTCCGTCTGGTGCTCTCAACCGTACGGTCCTTGAACTGCAATATACAATTGCCTGGTGCTCGGTAAGCCAATCCATTCCAAGGATAATGTCAAATTCCTTGTATGGAAGTTCGATAAGATCTGCAGGAAAGATCTTCCCACGCGTGGTCAATGGACATTGTCGGTAGACGTGATGTAGGATCATATTGTGCCCAAGGGGATTGGACACCAGCATCGGACTCTCCAACTGACCTCTCGCGACAACAGCATTAGCAAGCAAAGGAACACATATATATGATAGTGTGGGCCCAGGGTCAATCAATGCTAACAAATCCAAACCAAAGAGTGTGAACATACTATGTATGACGTCAGGATTAGGATCGGCACGCCCTTGCATAGCGTATGTCCTCGCTGGAGCCCTGCCCTGCTGATGTTGAGCAGCCTAAGGCTGCCGCTGCTGCGGGGGTCGCTGTGGCTGTGACCCGGCCTTCGAGCGCTGACTCTGGGCAGGTCGGGGAGCCGTCATCTGAGTGGATGCGGCAGCCGTAGGGAACGGAAGACCAAGATTAGTAGGACAATCCCTCCTGTAATGTCCATTGTCCACATCCCATGCACAACCCTAAACTCCTCCAACACTCCCCTGGATGGTTCCTTCCACAGGATTCACACATCGAATGCTTTGACGGCCTTGTCCTTCTACTGGATGCCACTGAGTGACCTGGTCCTGACTTGGCCTTCTTGGACAACTAAATACCACACCCACTCAGAGGTCTCTTCCCCGAATAGGCCTTACCAGCACTGGCTACCTGCACCGGCATCTTGTTCGCCTTCTACTCCACTACCAGCTTCGCTCCCTCTCTGGTCTTGACCACCTCCTTAGCCTGCTCATACATGACGCCAAAGTCTTGCCTGGACGCCGTAGGCATACCCTCCTGGAGGTTCATGCGCATGCCCTTAACAAATCTATCGCAGCGTCTCTTTGCAGTGTTTCTAGATCTTGAGCAAACTCTGCCAGGTGATTAAAGAGCTGCTGGTATTCCGGAAGGCTCATGGTCCCCATCTCTAGATGCACAAATTCTTCTCGTTTCTCCTCAACAAAAGACTCCGGGATGTACTCCTCCCTGAACACGCGATCGAAGTACTCCCACGTCAACTGGGGAGGGTAGTCGGCATTCCGTGTGGTGCGTTTCCACCACTCATACGCGTTGTTCTTCAACAACATCACAACGAGATCAGCCCACTCACCCACAGGGACCCTTAAATTCTCGAACACACGGCGTACACGCTCCAGCCCCCGGAACGCTACCAACGAATCAGCGATGTTCTCCCCGAGGAACTCTTCAACACCATTCTTCCTCAGTTTCTCCAAAGTAACCCTTTGTGGCAACATATGAAGGAGAGCACAACCAACAACCACCACTTCCCTGCAAAGCCAAGCATACCTGCCAATGCAGCCCATCCTTCTTCGGCTCCGGGTGGTGGTGGCAGTGGTGATGGCAGCGGCAGTGCCGCCTCACTAATCTCCAAAGTTGTGACAACCCAAAATGTGGCCAAAGCGTCACCATATGTAGCCTCTAAAATATCAATCCCGCCACCACAAAGCTCAATGCCGGATTTTCATTACTTCTTTGTTGAACAAATGGCTTCTTCCTTAACAAGTCACCCTTTATTTAAAGTAGCCCTTGCGGCATCCATTTCGGGAAAATTCCTCCAACTTTAACAACAAAATTAAGATAAGTAGTATAATGTATTTACTTTTAATTTGTAAATCATTTGACCCGTTGATTCTGTGGTTAAATCCAATCACTAGTTAGTTAGTTAGTTAGCCTTGACAACCATCTTCTATGTACATTTCGTGATTCAGTCCAATCTGTTGAATGATGAAATAATGATTTACTCAAAAAATAATGTTGTGTACATGAGAGTATATATAGGAGTAGATCCTAACATATTTAGGAGTCTATTATGCAAGCACTATTATAATTATTATTATTATTGTCTAACATCCCCCCTCAAGCTGAACGCGGTGAAACGAGCCTAAGCTTGGAAGCCAGTGATTTGAACCGTGGGGCAGACAAAGCCTTTGTGAGGAGATTGGCCAGCTGATCAGCACAAGGATCATATGAGACAGTCATGGCTTCAGCAATCACCTGCTCACGTACAAAATGTCAATCGGTGCCAAAATGCTTCATACGCTTATGGAACACTGGATTCTTTGTTAAGCAAATAACGGACTAGTTATCACAAAACAGATGTGGTGGAGGCAGACGTATGCGCAGAAAATCGAATAAATAAGTGACCCACATTACCTCTGATGCTGCTGCAGAGAGTGCACGATACTTCGCCTCGGTTGAGGACTTGGATACCCGACTTAGCTTATCTATACTCCAGGAAAAAAGATTCGGTCCTAGATAGACCAAGTAGCCCGTGATAGAGCGACCATATGTAAGATCATTAGCGAGTCAGAGTTTGAGTAAGCTTGTAATTTCAAAGCTCCCTTGCGAAATACCAAGCCTGTACTAAGTGTCCCCTGTATGTATCATAGAATGCGCTTGAGAGACTGAAAATCCTGCTCAGTCGGGGTGTGCATGCGCTGGTAGACATGATTAACAGCAAATTGAATATCTGGGCAAGTGTTGGTAAGGTATTGTAGAGCGCCAGGAAGCTAAGAATGGGAAAGAATGTCGAATTAGAGAATGGCTTGTCTTCCCCCTCGGTGCTGGACCGAACCGGTTGCAATATTCGACACCTGCCTGATGTAACAACTCCCGAGCATATTTTTCTTTAGAGAGTGTCAAACCAGTTGTTGTGCGCGTGACGTGTAGACCCAGAAAATAGTGGAGAGGGACCAAGATCCTTCACCTGAAATTCATGTTGTAGGGACTGAATAAAACACTTGATTAGGGGAGGTGAGCTTCGTGTGACAATAATATCATCAACATATAAGAGAAGAATGAGAATGCCATGTGGGGTATGCATAACAACAAAGCTAGTATCATGCTGATTATCCCAAAAACCATAGTCAAGAAGAAGGAAGCCAGAAAGGCGTTGGTACCATACCCGGGGAGCCTGTTTTAGTCCATACAAAGACTTCTTCAAGTGACACACAAAATGAGGATATTTCTTGTTAATATATCCCGGGGGTTGATGCATATATATCTGCTCAGGCACGTGTCCATGGAGAAAGGCATTAAAGACATCGAGCTGATGGAGTGGCCAGTCATTAGTGACTCCGAGGGAAAAAATCACCCATATAGTCTAATGCTTCACAACAGGACTGAATGTTTTAGAATAGTCCAAGCCATACTTCTGAGTGTAGCCTTTTGCTACCAAACATGCTTTATACCTAGAAACAAAACCATCAGCATTATGTTTAATTTTGTAAACCCACTTACCACCAATAGAAACACGATCCCTAGGAGGTGGAACAAGCTCCCATGTGTTCTGACTCATCAAGGCCTCAAATTCCTCATCCATACCTGGAAACCAATAACTATTTTTGGAGGCCTCTTTGTAAGTAACCAGCTCAGTCATAGGAGGTGTAGAGGACGGGATAGTGGCGGCATAAAGTTTGGTTTTGAAGATACCATTGCGGGCTCGGGTAGTCATAGGATGACGAGGTGGTGGTGGAGGTGAAGACGGGATAGGAGATGATTCGGGACTAGAGGGAATGTTACCGAATTGAATAGGGGTAGGCGAGTGGGTGGTATTGGGTTGGGGGCGGAGGGCTGTGTTGTTTGGGCTGGAGATAGAGGAATATGGGAATTGGTTTTCTTGGAACTCAACATGACGAGAGATGTGAATGCGTTTGGTGGACAAGTCATAGAAGCGATATCCCTTGGCCAATGAATCATAACCATGGAACATGCACCGCCGTGATCTAAGTTAAAATTTGTTGTAAATTTCATGGTGCAAACACAGATAGGCTAGACAACTAAAAACGTGGAGAATGGAGTAATTAGGACAGGTGTGATAGAGGGCCTCATATGGGGATATGTTGTTAAGGGATTGCTTGCGCATGCGGTTGATTAAAAAATTTGTTGCGGCTAAGGACTCTACCAAAAAAGTGATAGGAAGGGAGGCGGTGCATAGGAGAGTGACCAAAGTTCCAATAAGATGGCGATGTTTGTGTTCGGCAACACCATTTTGTTCAGGGGTATAAGGAAAAGACTTTTGCTGTAGAACCCCAATTGTTGTAAAAACAGTCCCAATTTGTGATTAACATATTCACGACCATTATCAGTTCGAAAAACTTTAATTTGTGTTTGAAATTGATTTTGAACCATATTTGGAAAGCTCTAAAAGTCATCATATGCCTCAAATTTAGGGAGAGGATACAACAAACAAAACTTTGTAAAATCATCAATAAAAGTAATATAGAAGTGGTATCCCCCAAACGAGGGTATAGAAGTAGGTCCCCACATATCAGAATGAACTAACTGGAAAGGAAAAGTAGTAGTAGTTTGAGATACTGAGAAAGGAAGTCTATGAGACTTGAAAACAGAATAAGAATCACAGTGTTCGAACTAAGTATATGTGAAACCTAATTGAGATAGCAAAGACGTGGTAGTGCCACTGATATGGAGTAGCCGTGACAGCATTGATCACTATTGGAGGGACGAACGACGGAAGGGAGTACAAACCACGCTCACAGGGGCCCTAAAAAGCACTTGGTTGGTTGTGTTGTCTCGAATCATAAAATCCTTAGAGGTGAACAATAGATTGTAGTTATTATCACGGGTAAATTGGTGAACGGATAAAAGATGAGATTTAAGGGATGGGGCATGGAGGAGGTTATTGAGATGGAAGACAATAGTGGGGGTGGTAAGATCACTTGAGCCAGTGTTCCTTATTGATTACATTATTTAATTCCTTAATTTTGTATGGCTTTAGTTATTTTTCTTATTTTCATTATTTTTTGTATCTAATTGTTTATTTTTTCCATTGGTAAGAATAATCTTTAATAAAACAAAAAGAAATGGAGGTAGAAAGTAATTTTCAAATTTTAAATGAAATTTTCAAAAACAATTAAAAAACAAAAAATCATAAAAAATAATCCCTACTTTCATTTTGTTGCGTAAAATAGGGATTCACATTAACCCGTCGTTAGAAACTTATCGGCAATCCAAAACTCACAAATTTTAGTAAAGTTGGAATTATTATGCATCACACTGAAAGGTGAAATTATTTTTGAAAGACCAGGTAAAGTTGGGATTATTTTAGATAATTTTTCCAAAAAATTAAAAGAACTCATGTTCATGTCATTTGAACTCTTTTTACTTTTAGTAAGGGAGATTTTTTAAGAAAAAATTATTCAAAATAATCACAAATTTATCTGGTCTTTAAAAAAATAATTTCACATTTCACTGTGATACGTAATAATCCCAACTTTACTGAAATTTGTGAGTTTTGGGTCGCCATTAAGTTTCTAATGGCAGGTTAATGTAAATGCTTGTTTTACGCAACAAAATGAAGATTATTCTTATATTATAAAAAATATAAAAATAGATATAACAAATAATGAAAATGAAAAAGTT